CTTTTTAATGATTTTTGTGTGTGTCAGTTTTTAATATTAGCATGTCTAAAACTCTAGTGTATATTCAATAATCTAGGGTTTTATTAAAAATCACCTCAGTCTATGGGCCACACTGTAAGTAACACTAGTTGAGATCCTCTTTAAAGAACTGATCAGATCTAGGGTGGTGTGTCTGTACTTACAGCCAGGGAAAAATTCTAGAGGGGTGGGTCCCCAAAGTAGTGCTTAGGTTAGCTGGACTAATCACCAGAGGAGCTTTTTAAAGTTTCTGACTGTCCCCTCCCCCACCACCTTCCCACCCGGAACCTATTTGATAACAATTGAGGGGAAAGAGGGTTGGGAAATTAGCTATTTTTAAACAAGTTTTCTATTTGATTTTGATGCCCAACCAGAGTTAAGGACTTCGGAGGTTGCCAGCCTAGAGAATGTTTTGCAGGGTAAGAAAGTGGTAACCTGCCCTGGCCGGTTTGGCTCAGCGGTTAGAGCGTCGGCCTGCAGTCCAGAGAGACCAGGGTTCGGTTCCCACTAAGGACATGTACCTCGGTTGCAGTTTGTCCCTGGCTCTGGTTGGGTCGTGCGGGTGGCAGCCACTCGATGTGTCCCTTTCACATCAATATTTCTCTCTCTCTCTCTTCCTTGCGCTCTATCTGGACAAAAAATGGAAAAAAGTCCTCGGGTGAGGATAAAAAAAAAAGTGGTAACTTAAGTACTGCCCCATAGAGAAGGGGCTTCATATGGAGCCGGAAGCCTGTTCAATGGCTTCTCCAGTAGGGATGGGAAGGAACAGGTGATGGGCTGTAGGGCACAATCAGATCATCAACTGGAAGCGTCCTTGCAGTACTTGGCAGCGCAAGAGCAAACACGGAGGAGCCTCAGGACGCCTGAAATGTGGCGCTGATGGTGAGTCAGCGAATCACAGGTTTAAACTTTGCAAGTCTGTATTAAAAGTACACAGTTATGGAAATCTAATGAGGGAGATGTGCGATTTAGGACATATTAAGATGAGCATGGTTCTTGCTCTCCTCTCTCCGGCATTAAAACAACACATGTGCAGCCCTGGCCGGTTTGGCTCAGCGGTTAGAGCGTCGGCCTGCGGTCCGGAGAGACCCGGGTTCGGTTCCCGCTAAGGGCACGTACATCGGTTGCAGTTTGTCCCCGGCCCTGGTCGGTTGTGCGGGTGGCAGCCGCTCGATGTGTCCCTTTCACGTCGATGTTTCTCTCACTCTCTCTCTGTTCCTCTCTCTCCCTCCCACTCTACCTGAGCAAAAAATGGAAAAATGTCCTGGGGTGAGGATAAAAAAAACAAACAAACAAAAAACCACAACACATGTGCACACACGCACACACAACACCACACACACACAACCTTGTAAAAAAAATCCCCCAAATCTAGTGCATTCAAGATTGTGTTTACTCTTTAAAATGTCATTCCTCCTTTCTAAATAGAAAAATGTAGGATTTAGGATCTGGTTGTTAGTCACATTAAGTTTTCAGAAGTGTACAGTTATAACAATGTTATCTGACCACAAAACAGGACTGTACATTCTAACTACATCTAATTGCATTGTTATAATAAAGACTACTTTAAAGCAAAAACAAACACTTTTTTGAGCTGGTATGGAAGAGGTTTAAAAAGGAAAGCATTTGGCCATGTAAATCCTAAGCTTTCTACAGTTTCCCACACCTTCAGTCAGTGTGGCCTGTCTCATCTTCCTACACAGGTCCACTGGCTCTAATAAAAGGTTGGAAAATAATCTCAGATTTGTATACTGATTTTCACATGCTTGTTTACCTAAATCTGCATCCTCAACGTTTGTTCTGTTGTTAAAAGAATCCGCGATTACATATTTATAAAAAATATATAATGCAACTACACTTGCTCCTTGCAGATTCATAATGTGGATGGGAAGACATGAAGAAAATGAAATGTTTAACATTTTTCAAATTTGCTGGTTACACAAACTTTTGCTTTTGTGTAAAAGTCATGGGAAATGCTGATGTAGATAAATTAGAGCGGTAGAAAAATTCCAACTTGTCAAAAATTTGTTCCTATTTGGTTTTATAATATATGAATCAATGATTATAAAGTTGTAAGTTTAAGATGTATTCAATGGGCTATATCATTTTATTCAGAAGGTCATATTATTTCAACAAGTTGATTATTTGATTCAGGGGGAGAGTTTCTGTCTGTCTTTTTTTTTATGACCTTATCATTTTTGAGGAAGACAAGCCATTTTCTACAATGTCTCTCCACTGGATTCATCTGATGCTTGCCCATGATGAGATCCAGATTATGCATCTTTAGCAGTAACCTCGCAAATATCTGCCCTTTTCAGGAGATCATGATGTCTGTTTGTTCCACTGTTAGGGATGTTAACTTTTGATCACTAAGTTAAAGTGGTGTCTGCAAGGATTTTCTACTTTGAAGTTAGTTTACTTTTAGACCATGTAAATATTAAGGTTTTCATTACCTACTAGTTTTAGCATCCATTGATAATTCTTGCCCAAAACAATTACCATTGTGGTAGTTGCCAGATGGTGATTTCTAAATGTAGTATTCCTTTTACATTAGCTATCATTCCATTGTAAGAAACTCTTCTCCCATTGATTCATTTATTTCTATCTGGACAGACTCACAGTTTCTTGATTTATTCTATGGGTTAGATTTCATTACCATAATTATTTACTTTCATGCTCATTGTCCCAGGTTGGCTGGTGGGACACCCCTCAATCTCAATGTTTCTTACACATTTTCCCATCATTCTTTGAGTGCTTTCCTACTTTCTGACAGAGTAGGATACTTCAGGCTTTTTGTCCTTTCTCTGTCCCAGGCTAGGAATCAGTAATTTTTCTAAGAAGTTCCCCCCCCACACACACCGGCCCTTTTTTAGTAGAGAATCTAGAAACCAAGATCTGAATGCTTGGTATTCTCATTACTAGACTATATCTGTTTCTAGGCCCCCAGAGGACAAAACTAGTAAATATGTGTATGTGTACATGTATTTCTAGTTATTTCTATTAACATGCATGAAAAAACTGAGTTCATATTGAAGTTTCCAATTCCAATCCAGTACCACAGGGAAAAACCCATCATTTATAATTACTATCTCGGAATCGTGTCGAACTCACAGTCGTTACCTTTGCTGTGCTGTACAATAGGAGCTATGTGATACTCCGGAACCCGTTCACTTACTCACTCTGTGCTAGGTACTTGGCTACAAATATGGAAATGGAGGACTTTCTCCCTATCCTTAAGCAGATCGATCCAGTAGAGAGGGCAGAAGAAAAGTAATTCTAATGCAGCATAATAAGTTCTACATTAGAGATATGCAGTGTCCTGTGGGAACAGAGAGGGGCACCCAGTGCACACTGAGTGAACGACTGTTTCAGAGAAGGAAGGAAACTGGTGGCGCACACCCCGCACCGGCAGGGTGCTTGGATCACTGCATGCTGGCGTGAAATGAAGAGTGTACTTTGCTTCTGAGTGAGAATACATTTTATCGAGAGCTCTGATTTATCTAGAAGGGTTCTCTACATTGATTGAATTCATAAAAAAAAAAACACAAAAAAACTGCTCGGCCAGCCATGACAATATCTATGCAAATAAACTCCAGGGGAATCGATGTAGCTTGTGGGACCACAGTTAAGTTTCACTGCGCAAGGCCCCTGCCAATGACCAGAAAGAAAGGGGGAAAGTTTGAACTGTCTCAAACTATTATCACATGTGGATCCTCCCCTCCCTTCTTTGCAAATTAAATAAACCAGCTTATTTGCCATTGTATTGATAGCCACCCTCTTGAGTAACAGAGTAGTTTATACATAAATTTTCTTTTGTCTAGACTTAGAGATTGAAGAAAAGAAAAAGATTGTGTGTGTTTGTTAGAGTGTATGTCTAGAAAGTAAAGGCTAATTTAAAAAATTGAGGTAGAAAACATTAGGATAAAAAATGAGAAAGGGCCCTGGTTGGTTTGTCTCAGTGGTTGGAACATTGGCCCATGACCAAAAGGGTCTCAGGTTTGATTCCCAGTTGAGAGCAGGTGCCTGGGTTTTGAGTTTGATGCCCAGCCCTGATAGGGGTCGTGAGGGAGGCAACCAGTTGATGTGTCTCTCTCACATATGTTTCTCTCTCTCTCCCTCGCCCTCCCTTCCATTCTATCTAAAATTCAACGGAAAAGTATCCTTGGGTGAGAATTAACAAAAAAAAAAAAGGAAAGGGGTTTTATTTTTTTGCTCTTCTACAAATAGTATTCTTATAAAAATTTGCTACCAGAGCTCTTTACAGAAATAAATGGGGGCTCTCTCCTGGTCTGTGCTCCTCCTCCACTTTCCCCTCGTAGATCTGCTCACTCTAGTACTGCCGATCTTACCAGTTAGAAATGCCGGTCTACAAAGCTGCGCAGGAAGGTGTGTAAGTAACCATCCCCAGTGCCAGGACACTGATCTGCATGTGACTTGCTGTCTCTCCTTCAGCTACAAAATGATTCCAATACCACAGAAAAAGTAGAACTGAGACATGTAAATACCTTTGTCTCTATAGGAACAAAGTCCACATGACTGAAATATTTATTTATTTTATTTATTTATTTTTTTTATTTGGTGGCCTTAAATCATAGAAAATATAAAATCATTTTAGTTGTGAAATACTCATGATAAATAGTGAACTTCAAATGTGAATAAGGACACAAGTTTTTTCTTATGCTTTAAAATATATATATATATGTATATAATATACATATATATAATTTTAGGTAACCATAAAGCTGATGCAATGGCAGTCTGGGTTGTTGGAGAGTCTTCAGGTACTGTTAGCTGCCCCTAGGCACAGGAGCAATTGTGATCTCTGCAGAGGTGAGCAAACTAAAGGTTGCTAGGCTTGTGCCAAAGGTCCATGTGGCGAGAGCAGGAGCGGAACCTACAGAAAGCATGGCTTACCCACGGAACAAGGAAAAAAATGAACCACCAGTGGGGTTTTAACAAATATAATGATTAGTGAAAGCTTCTTTGAAAGTGAGAATTTTTAATTACTTTATTAAATATATTCATTTTAAAGGCTTTACCCTTCCATAATCACCATGATACAATATGAGTGTGTATATAAAATACCCATTGAACATGTTTTAAGAGGTATAATTGTGTTTTGAAATATGCAACATGAAATATGATTTGATATGAAAAACCAACTAATCAGAAGCACAAAAAAACCACACCAGTGTATTTTAATAAGAACCTATGGCGGATTCTGGAATGACTGTCGCGTGCATGTCCCTCGTCATGTTCGACTTCTCCTTCAGCTTGGATTGGAGCAGCGTGTGTTCCACAACTCCGATTCTGATGTCCATCTGAACCGTTTCCTGCTTCAGCTTCGTTAAGCTCTGTTTAATCTTCACCAAAGGAGCTGCAGCATGAAAACAACACAGAATAAAAATGTTTATTTGGAGTAGCATCATATTACAGATTTATGTAACATTTTCCTTACTTTGTCTGAAGCTAAAAGTAGGGTTAAAAACACAGCCAACAATTTACTGACATTCACACCATTTTGCTGTGGCATTTTAACCACCTGAGATTTTGAGGATGGGAAATGATACAGCATTTGAAGTACTGAGGCTGAACTTCCTGCCTTTTCTACGAAAAGAATTGCTAAACAGGTGTTTTAGGAATGTCTTCCATTTTTTTTTTTTTTTTATGGGTTGGTACATTTGTCTGAAGGGAAAGGGGATACAGCGGAAGAAAAAGAAAACAAAAAATTATCTTTGAGATATAATGGGCTCATTCAATCATACAGCACAACCTCTACACAGTCTCTTTTGAAAGATGGCTCAGTATATACCACTAGAAAATCTAGAGCACAGAAGGGCCTAAGGCAGTCACTACTGGACCAGGTCAAAACAACTAGCTCGTGATGGAGGATGATTACTGAAGGATTATTAATTTTCTCTATTTGACCTCTGCCCAGTCAGGTCTACTGGGGAAAAGAGAAAAAAACAGAGGTCATCAGATCACTGCCTGTGTGTCATTTGGGCATACACTTAGTGCTCTTTTGTACATAAAATGGGATAATGAAGCTCATTTGATGAAAATAGAAGAAAATATTTTTTTAAATTGGCACAACAAAGTGCATAAACATTTCCCACTCTATCTGAATATAAACCATCCTAAATTATAGTAAAAAATGGCTCTTCTCAGCTGACTTCTCAGATATCACTTTGGCACTGTGTACCCCTCCTCAACAAACTCATTTCAAAAAGCATCCTCCCTGTGAAATACCCATCTTCTCTTACTCGTTTCCCCCTAAGGGGAGTGTGCACTTACCACCGTCGGTCATACTGCTACCTTTCTCTTCCATTTCTTGCTTTACCTTTTCTAGTTCTTCGGTAACCTTTCATTTAAAAAAAATTTTCATGAGCACTGAATTTTAATAAACTTTCAAAATTTTTGAAAGGTGTATTAATAAAATTTAGAAATAATACATACATAAAGGAATATAGAGATATTCGGAGTATTCTGGACATAATTTGAATAATAAGATAAAGTATGCAGCCATACAAAGCTTTTTATCTTCTGAGAGTGCTCCTAAGGTTAAATTTACCACATCACTTCCTCATTAACTTTCTCAGGTGGTAACATGATAGAATACAAACTAAGCTGTCTCCAACTTTCAGTTATCATACAGCATCTACCATGCCAGTCTCTAATAGTCACTTATTAATTAAAACAGTGCAAACATCCTAAAAAGATTTTGGATTTCTGAAGGTTTACTAGATATCTTTCTTAACATTAAAGTTTTATAAGAGAATATGCCACTTTTATCTTTATAGCACACTAAAAATAATGTTTATACCATATGGCTATATGTAAAAATATTCTAACTGCTCTCTCCAAACCATGAACTCCAAGAGGCATACTGTGCTGTCATGTTGGTTCTTATCTGTACTCCCCATAATACTCAAAGCTATACAACTGTCATTAACAAAATTCCAAGCTAGCATTAATATAGGTAGAAAATACCAGCTTTAAAAAAGTTGAAAAAATTTTATATGATCTAGAACTATGCATTATTGTGACTTAGTTGGCTGTATTTTTTATCATACTGGTGAATAAAAACTTCTTTGGAAATAAGGTGCTCATCCAAGTAAAGCAAATTAATTTTTCCAGCACCTGAAATGTTACAACTGAGGATAACTACCTACTCCAAAAGAACTGAATTGTTCCCTGGACTCCCTTCAAGTGTTAATTTACTCAACCTAAGTGAGCACTTTATTTCTATATAATGTTTTATTTGCCTAGAAGCACCACAGGATTAAAGTCTAAATATTTTGAAAGTTAAATATAAAAATATATATTTTTTTAAATTTTAAAGTAACTATTTACCCCTCAAATAATTGCTGTAAACAAAGTTTAATTGTATTATACAGAAAAGTTTGTAATAATTACACTGGATTGTAATCAAAGATAATCTTGGATTTTAGTCCCACATTGACTACTGACCTTATTAAAGGTATTTTTTTGTTTTTTGGCTTTTTCTCTGTTCTTCAGTGAAAAATGGGAGTAGATATCATACAACAATAGATGTAAATAATCCAGAAGTTCTCAGAAGGAAAGGGCTCCACACCACTCCCAGTTTGTGGACAGAGAAATTCTCAGGGTCAGATACATATTATCAATGATCACTAAAAACAAATCTGTGTCTTGTAGGCTACTATTAAAATTTGTTGTACCACCCTGGCTGGTTTGGCTCAGCGGTTAGAGTGTCAGCCCGCGGACCAATGAGTCGCGGGTTCGATTCCAATCAAGGGCACGTACCTTGTTTGCAGTTCGTCCCTGGCCCTAGTCGGGGTCATGTGGGAGACAACCAGCTGATGTGTCCCTCTCATGTCAATGTTTCTCTCCCTCTCCCTCCCTCCCACTCCATCTGAAGATAAACACAAAATTATCCTTGGGTGAGGATTAAAAAAAAAATGTGTTGTATAAAAAAATGTGTTGTATATATTTAAGCCAGTACTTTACCCACTCTTCTATATATTAATTATAATTATTATGTTTAAGAAAATTAAGGAAGGTTATGAATTTGCTAATATTATCGGCAAGTTTTAGGTTCAACTTAATAAAACTTCAGGCAGTTTATGGAAACAAGTAGAATATACACACATCATTGATTCGTTGATAAGAAAATAGGGATTCTCTCCTAACGAAAAGGATTCAAAGCCACAGAACAGTAACTGGAACAACGCACGGTGCAGCAGTATTAAAGCAGCGAGGCTGTGAACAGCCGGCCCAGCTGAGCGCACAGCGCGTACCTCAGACAGCAGTCTGGTCCTCTCGGTCACTCCGCCATTCCCTTGCTGGTATCGCTCCCTTGCCTGAGTGAGAAAACATTCTGTTTAATGACAAATTCACCACAGAAGCAGATTACTTATATATGACCTCTTTGTGTTTGCAATTTCTGCATATCATTTTATGACAACCCCCCCCCCACCTAATTTGTAAACACATTTGTGGAAGTGACATTTAGCTATAGATATTTTATGTCCCTAATAGGCACCATGTATTTAACTAAAGCACTTTAAAATGATGAACTACTTTAACCTTCATATACTGACTGTGTAACTCGCATGGGCATGGTTCACAATAAAAACCGTCCTCAGCCATTATTATACAGTTTAGAACAGTGGCTCGTGGTCGATCTAATTTGTGTGCTATGCAGAGAAGATCAGTTTTAAAAAAATCAATCATCATAGAGCATTAGGATCAGCAATTAATAAGGATTAACAAACAGTATGACAGTATGGAATATGTTCTTGGGAACTAATCTACAATCAATTATTTAATAGCAAAGTTTGAGAGATACATAGTGGCCTTAATCAGACTTCTACAGCATTTTAAAAGTAAAAATGTCCATGAATAGATGTGGATATGAAGAAATTACTAAACAAATAGTAATAAAAAAGTAAAAATTGCCCTGGCTGGTTTGGCTCAGAAGTTAGAGCGTCGGCCATGGACTGAAGAGTCTTGGGTTTGATTCTGGTCAAGGGCATGTACCTGGGTTGGGGTTTGATCCCTGGCTCTGGTCTGGGTCATGTGGAGGCAACCAATCAATGTGTCTCACATCGATGTTTCTCTCCCTCTCTCTACTCTCTCCAACTCCCTCTCTTCCAATCTCTCTTAAAAAAAAAAAAAAAAAAATCAATAGAAAAATATCCTCAGGTGAGGATTAACAAAAACAAACAAACAAAAATAGTGAAGATTACTTTCTGTTTGGTCTTTGAGAATTTCTGAAAGTACGGAAGTATCTTAAGTTTATTTCCATTCTTTTTCTCCTTCTAACCTCGTTAGAAGAAAGAAAAAAACTGTGCCTTCAACTGACATTTGCAAGTGTTCTTACTGGTCTTCAACATCAGGAAAGGGGGGCCACACATCTCAAAGGAAAGCCTTTAGATTCCCACTGCTGGGACAAGAACTGCTGCTTTCAAAGGCTGAAGGTTTTATTTTTTGGTTGAAATTCTAAAACGTTGACAGGATTAAAAAATGTGCTCATTTAATTAATTAAACTGCTTGTCTTTGAACGTGTCTCGCTTTCATATTCCTCATTACATGCTTGTAAGCCATTATGGCAAGGATGTCCCTTCCCTCTGACACATGTAAATGTGTACTAGTCTTCGTCCTCCTACTCACATGGTAAATTTACAGCAGATAGGAACAAAACTAGGTGTCCTGGCACCCGTTCCTGTTCTAAGCCATGTTCTCCAACAATATATGCCTACATGAATGAAGAAACTGCACTTAAAGACTTACAGGAGATAATTTCCATCACATGAAAAATGGAAATGACAGGTTTTATTGCCTCACTTGACTTCCTAAAGTGTGGCAGAGAATCAATATACAGTGTGTCCTCACTTGATGTCAACCATCGATAGGCTCTTAGACACTGTGACTTGACCCAGTTTTACCATACACTAACTGATAGAAAAAAGAGTTAGGTTTCCATCGCATGTTTCTGAATATCAATTAGCCTATGGTAAAAAATTGGTTTGGTTTATATGTCATTTTGCTTAAAATTGCAGTTCCCAAGAAGCTGTCAACAACATTAATGTGAACATATTGTATTGCTGGTTGTGAAACACATTTCACAATTCCCCAGTGACAAGTACTATGTCAAGTTTAGGGATTAGGGTCATTAATTGGAATAAATCCCTGGATCGCGTTCTTTAGTTACCTCACTCAGCTGCGCTTGAGCCGCACGATATTCTTGAACCAAGTGCTCAAGCTGACTGTTGATGTATTTTTCTCGGCTGCTGATCTTTTCCAGAGTCCTACTAGTTTCATTATGGAGTTTGTCCAAAAATCCCTAGAAATTCCATGGGCTTTTAGTAGATTAAAAACTCACAAATATATTTTTCAAAAGTAGTTTAAAATGGGTTAAATCTCCCTCAATCCATCCCACAAATTCTCAACCACTTGTGAAAAAGAAGACAGTTCGAGATTTTTAATAGCAAAAGAAGTCTGCAATAAGAAATAGTTTAGTCACTTTGCAGAATGTTAAAATGAAATAGCGCCTGGCAGTGTTAGTCAATCCATTCATTTCTGTGCATATCTAGAATAGATGGGAATGAAATCTGTTTCATGTGAAGCTCTCAACCGAAGCAGGTAAGGGAATAACATGACTTTCTTTTAGCACAATTCAAACGTGGCTGGAACATTCCAGTTGAAAGCAGATCATTAAACAAAGCTCTAGCCTGAGACCCACATGTTCTCATTCCAATTTTGCTTCTTTGTGGTACCCTCCAGAAAGTCCTTACTTCTGGCAGAGCAGCAAGCCTGGAAGCTGTGGCTTCTAAGCATGGCTGGCCTGGTGCTCTGTAAAACCTTGGGATTCAGAGAGGAAAGAATGATGAAATCTTTCTCTCTGAAAGACATATATATATGTATAGGTATCCACACATACACATATCTAATATATGTAATGTAATATATATTACACTGCTTCTACATAGAGTTCCTTTCTTTAGATGATTTAAGTGTTAAGCTCCTCAAAGGCAAGAATTGTGTCTTTTTTCGCTCATGTTCTCCCTTAACAGGTGTTCCACAGATGAGTCATCTGAAGGAATACACATACCTTGGTCTCCTTTAGAGCAGACTCGATTCCACTTCTGTGCTGGTGCATTTGGTCAACATGGATTCTCCAATCCTACAGGCATAAGAGCACAAAGGAACAACCACATTTCCTTCTTTTCTCTCCTTTTTTGAAGTTGCATACTTTAATTACTTTGGCTGCTGCCCTATTTCAGGTGGTAGTCCTATATATAGCTTGCAATCAGATTATAAAGAAATACGTGTAGAGCACTTTAGGATAAAAGGTTCTAAATAAATGTAAATTATTTTATGTGTTCACAGAGTGATGTCTGACAATTTGAATATAAATTATTCCTGCACTGCTGGTGGTTAATATTTATGACTACCCATCAAAATGAAAAAAATCTAATTACTAAAAAAGAAATACTTGTTTAAGCAGTAACAATTATGTTTGCCAGAAGCAACACTGGAATCAAGTCTCATATATCAAATATTAGCTTGTCCCTTGGAAATTAAAATGGGGGCCTCTTCTTCAGGAAGGCTTTGGAGTCTTCTGAAGAAGGGAGGTCTACAATGATCTTTAGAGTTCATACATTCTGAGTATCCTGCCCCACTACTACACTGATTAGTGTGCATGTTTAAACCTGCTCCGACATCTTCATTTCCTACAAGGTATCTTCACAATTTTGTGGTTTACATTACCAAAGGTAATACTTTTAGACTTGAGAAACACCCACTGTACGAGAACAAACATTATGGTAAGCTGGAGAGAGTGATGGAACCAAGAGGCCTCTGTCACACATCTCCCCTTGCATACCCTCATGCTCCACTCTGCCATCCACAGTCCTTTCTGAAGAGAGACATATTTTGTGAATAGTCCCATTCTACCGATTTCTTCACTTTGATACATGGGATAGTGACTATAGGGTAAAAAAAATCCTGGGGCACATCAACATACCAATTATAAAGCACAGGAAAGCTGCAGAGAACCTCCCAGAGCACCCCCAGGCCACACAGGCAGTGCTACACTGGGTCAGAAGCCAAATGCACTAAATTCCCACACAATGCATTTTGGCAGTTCAGAGCTAATTAAAGGAGCAATTGGCTACTTGACACCAGCGAAGGTGCTAGAACAGAGAACAAATCAACACTTTTCTGTGTCCTTAAGCATTTTTCTGTCTCATGAACAAAAGGTATCTAAGCATGAGAGCTGGGAACGGCCTTAAAGATCATCTACTCACTAGTACAGTGCTTTCGTTTTACAGTCGAGGGGACTGCTCACCACCTGTTATTCTGAGTAGACAGATTTGGAAGGAAACAGGCCCCTCTGACTCAGCCAGTTACCACTGGAGCAGGGAGGAGATGCAACTGGCTGGTCTCCTGCAGCTGGGCCCTCACACAGAGTTTAAGCCTCAAAACAGACACCTGTTTAAGCACAAGCAAGCATCGGCATGAAAAAAAGAAACCTAAAGAGTATCATTTTACAACTAATTTTTTTTTAAAGTACTCATCCTGCCTGAGTCCAGAAAGAATTTCAGAGCTCAAGTATTCCTACTGATCACTGTGTCTGTCCATATATATGCATAAACACATACACACATACATTTTACATAGAATTTTTGTATTTATTGTAGTTAATATGTTTGTGTTCTGCTTTTTCTAACCAGCACTTTCCACCCGGCAAATACATATATATTTTTTCATATTTTGACATTCCAGTAGTTGGAGAGATGCAAACGTTCCTGACCCATCTATGTATAATTACGATAACTTGCACCGATGTAAACCCCATGGAGAAGCAGGCATTTCAGTGGAACCTTGAAGCATGAGTAGCATTTCAATGGGGAGGGTGGAAGAGGAGGAGGGCTGTAGGCCAAAGGAGTAACAAGGGAAAATAGAAAAATATATAGGGAGCAAGTAGCCCAGGCTGGTTAGAATATAAACCACAAAGTTCTTGGGATGGGGTGGGGTGGGGAGGATGAATCATGAGGAAACAAAGCTGGAGAGGGAGGTTATATTAGATCAAGGGCTTTAACTAAGGAGTGTGGATTTTATCATGTGGATAATGGAGAGCTATCAAAGATTTTTGGTGTCAGTTTTTTGTGTTTTCTTTTTAAATCCTCACCTGAGGATATGTTTTAATTGATTTGAGAGAGAGAGAGAGAGGAAGAGGGAAAGAGAGAAACATCGATGTGAGAAAGAAACATCAATCAGTTGCCTCCTGTATGCGCCCCAACCTGGGGACCCAGCCGGCAAGGAACCTGCCACCTTTTGGTGTGCCAGATGGCGCTCCAACCAACTGAGCCACACTGGCCAGGGACTGGCGTCAGTTTGAGAGACAAGCCTGTGTTTTGAGAAAGGAACAGCATAAAGGAATGACTGGAGAGGCATGAGACTAAAGACAGGTAGGAGACCAGTTGAGAGACCGCGTGATGGCCCATGTGATAGTGTAGCGGGTTTGAACTGGAGCAGTGCTGGTAAGAATGGAAGGGGAGGGTCCAGTCCCAGGGAGAGTGGAGGGACAGGACTGGCGGAACGTGAGGACTGACTGCGGGGAAGTGCGGGGTGGCTGCAGTGGAGATGGGAAGTGGAGAGAAGGTGTCTGAGATTTCTAGCCATAGGAACTAAGAGGACAGGAATGTTACACGGTGACAGAATAGAATAGATTTGAGAGAGTCAGACAAACTGAGGAAGTTTGTCTTGGACTTTTACATTTGATAAGCCACTGGGACATTTGTGTTTTTTATTGCCTTTTAAAATGGAAAGCTAGTAATGATTTAAAATTATCTGCCAGTCAAATCTGAATGTTTGTTTTATTAAAATCTTCAGAATGGGCACATTTTCTGATGTACAGTTATAAAAAAAAATATCTTAAAGGTGTTCTTTCTCTTTAACCCAAAAATTTCATCTCTAGAAATCATTCCCAAGAAAAGAATTGGGTCTACACACAAAGAATAATGAACAACTTCTTTGTAAAGGTAAAATGGCAGAAAAATCACTAAATATCTAACAGTAGAGGACAGTTTAAATTAATTTTGTAATATTCATTTCACTGTTAAAAAAATAATGCAGTTTAATACCATTCGTATAAAGCTCTAAACCAAGCAAAACTCGGCAATATGCTGTTTCGAGATACATATACAAAGACACTAAAAAACAAAACAAAAAAACCTATTGACAGTACACAAACTTGAGGACAGGGTTAGCCCTGGGTGAGAAGGGGCTACAGCAAAGAAGCACACAGGGAATTGCAAGGGACTGTGGCTCTCAAGCTGGGTAGTGTGGTGGGTTTGTGAGTGCTTGCTGTATACTTGGGCTTCATAATTACATATGTAGTGCATATTATATGCACTAATATTGCATATATGTAAAATTCATGTTTTCATACAAATATATACAAATACTAGTTAAAAACTTGATACACTTTTGTGGTAAGAATGAAGTTATGGGTTTTAATAATATGTAAGGACTTGATACCCCAAATAAGTAATAGTAAAAATAAACTTCAACAATGATGTTTTTACATTAGTAGAGAATCCATTAGGTGACAACACACTGTTATATATCTTTCTTCATTTGATCATCACAAAGGCTTGGATCACTAAGTAGGTATTTGCATCCCTTCTTTTTTGGTGCTGTTTTTAAAATTTGTTTTAAATTTATTGGAGTGACAATGGTTAATAAAATTATATAGTTTCAAGTGTACAATTCTGTAACATATCATCTGCAGATTGTATTATGTGTGCACCACCCCAAGTCAAGTCACCTTCTGTCACCATATACTGGACTCTCTTTAACCTTTTCTACCTCCCCCTCTATGAGTTTTTGTTTGTCGCCCACATATATGTGGGTTTATTTCTGGGCTCTCAATTCTGTTCCATTGGTCTGTGTGTCTGCCTTGTCAATACCATGCTTCTTTTTCACCTCTACCTTCTCTCTAAGAGGGTTATGTGATTTGCTGGATGGTTGTGGAAAAAGTACATTTCCTGGCTCCACTAACACTGACCTTGGCCATGTGATTCTCTTTGGCCAGTGGAATGACAGTGGCATAGGGCATGGCCTTCGCCAGGACTCTGCAGAAACTGTAAGCGGCATCTACCAGCTCTCCTGTCTTTTCTTTCAGCCATGATAATAGGCATATCCCATATAAGGGTTATCTTTTCAGTCTGGGTCTGAGAAAAAGAAACATGGGCCCGGCTGGTGTGGCTCAGTGCTTGAGCATTGACCCATGCAACCAAGAAGTCACCAGTTCGATTTCCGGTCAGGGCACATGCCCAGGTTGTGGGCCGGATCCACAGTGGGGGGCTTGCAGGAGGCAGCCAATTGATGTTCTCTCTCATCGATGTTTCTGTCTCCCTCTCCCTTCCTCTCTCTAAAACTCAATAAAGAAAAAAAATAAAAATAAAAAAAAGAAGAGCTGCAGCTGAGCCACACCTCAGCAGACATGTATCTTAAGGGAAAATAATGAAATGCGTGTTGTTATTATTACTGTAAGCCACTGTGCTTTGGGGTTGTTTGTGATATAGAAAAACTGAATGTATACAGAAATTTTATAAGAGGAATCAGATAGGTTAAATGACCTTCCTAAAGTTTCATGTCTGGACAATGGAAAGTGCTCCAAACCAGTGCAGTTTCCACATGTTATATGCTGCTGTTCTTTGTGATAAAATGAATTACCAAAGAGTATCTCAGGTAAACCTAGAATACTTTTTTGTTATAAATCAAGTGAGACCCCACTGGCCACTGGAGTTTATTGGTCCCTTTTTCCAAAGTGCTCTAAGTATGTTCATTAAGCATCACTTCTCCTTTCTACTGAAACTGAGTTTTTCACCTTTCTCTATGAAAATGAGAAGACTAATAATAACACAGAATATCTTTCCTTTCTTCCGACTTTCTACTTTTCAAAACCCTTTCATACAAAATTTCATGTATAATTCTGTCACTTGTGAGGTAGAGAGCAGAGGTACTGTAACCATAATCCCCTCCCCACTCTAAATTCTTTAGCACCAAATTATAAATCTCCCTTTTTCAGAAACTGGAGAATTGGAATGATATATCTGCAGATGGTGATTCACAGCATCACATGGAATCAGTATGTATTACATCTGCTTGCAG